TTTTTCGATAATTTTGATAAAATGGTTGTATACTTGATTGCACAAATAAAAGTACTTTTACGTCGTTGCAGATGCAGATGGCTTAATGGCGTCAGCGCAGAATTAACTGCACCAGCGCAAAACAGCCGCGCCGCCACGTAAGCGCAACAAGATGACAGCACTTTTCCCGTGAAATCAACTATGTTCAAGGTGATGTCATAGGTGGATTTTTTTTTTGCTGAAATTAAACAAACAACGGGTTTGTTATAAAATATTAGATCCACGTCCAGAGTGGATGGAGCTACGAAATAAAAAAAAAGCGACGAAAAAGCCATATCGAGGTTGAGATTTTCCACCTTCTTATAACGACGAAGCCACAATGAAATTCAGGCAACACTACTGAAATCTCTACCGCTGAGTGACTCGTAGTTCATTCAGACAATGATTAATGTATTCCAGGAAGGAAATGTGTTTTAAATTGTAGCTGACACTCAACAGAAACATCTATCAAGTCATAAATTGATGACTTCACACAAATTTTCGTATTTGCATACCTTGGTCTTGCTAAGTTTTCTCAATACTGGTTCATCTCCATCCAGTGAGCCACCACCAACTGTCAATTCACTCCCATCTGAATCACTAGACGATGATGACAATTTTCGAACAGATCGACGTGCTCTGCAAAACGATGATAGATGTAGGATAAAACCCTACTTTTCAAAGAATTAAGTAGAAATGGAGATAAGTACTGACGGTAGCATTAACGGTAGCAGGTCAATACCAAGATGAAACATTTAAAAAATGCTTTTACCTGAACTTCTCAGTGCATTCCGTAGATTCTTTCGACAAGAAGGACCCGTCAAGTGATGAGCGCGAGGACGTCTCGGAATCAGCTACAGAAGCTAAAAAAAAGGATAAGCTGAACAGGCTACAAGACTAGATAGCTCCAGAAATGCTTACTATTAAGAAAATCCGGGCGGGGTGGAAAAGCGGAAAACGCACTGGGAGACGCTTGACTAAGCGGTAGAAATCTCAAAAAGTTAGCGCTAAATTGCCAATTGAAGTATATTTGCATGGTATTTGTGGAAACTGAGGCCTGAGTATATGTACTAACGGTACTTACGGTGATTGACGATGAAGAAAATTCGCTTCCGGGATTTCCTGCTCACTGATGAACGAGCAGTTTGATGGGGCTGGAGAGCAGCCTTCTGATGGAAGCTCTTTTTCAAAGACATCTGAACAAACACAACATGATATATATTTATATAAAAAGGTGAGAATTCCCTTTTTTCAAGATGAAAAATAAGTTATTACCTCGGCGATTATTGTAAGGATTAAGAGAAGATTGAAGATTTATCAGATATGCGGATTTTATTCAAGAGGTTTATATGAGGATAACTAGCATTCACATCTCGTAAGTGATTTTCAACAAAAAAAAGCTGTTGTTAACTACTGGAAAATGGAAACAACGATTTTTAACTTTAATATGAGGTAAAACCCCCTGACCATAGATGCGCTAATAATCGAATCATATGTAAATGCTAATTGACTAAACTGGAAAGGTGCAGAAATAGAGGAGTCAGAAAAGTTAATTGTTTTCACGCCGAAATCTTTGCTAACAAGAATTAAGTCCCCCGAAAAAAAGAGAAAAATTGTGAAAACAGCAAAAAAAAAAGAGAAAAAAAATGAGGAGTCCGCAAAAAAAAAACTCACGTTGTGATTCATTTGATGCACTTCCAACGACAGTACTTCCGGAAGCAGTAACAATCCCACTAAGCTCGTCAGTCATTTTGCAAATGCCTTTAGAAAGTGAAGGGCACGAAGTGCAGCACGATTGCAATTCAACTTTCAGCTCAGAGATAATAGAACTATTTCAATGGAATATTATCACAAATGTTAGGGAAAGTACATTTGTGCCGTAATTATGTGAT